ATGTATTTCCCCTCCCCCCGCGCCTTGTTCCCAGAAGCAGTGAAATAGTTCTCACTGAAACTTTCCAAAGTAGTTGAGCCTGAGGCAGACGCTGTGAATAGATCATTTCTGCCCACACAATTAAAATTTGGCAAAGTTATAAGCAGTTCAAATTAGAAGATAGGCACAAACTTCCCGCAGTTTCTGGGTATTTGGGGTCCATAATTTATTTCTGAGTTTGAGTTCAGATCTAAATTTTACACCCAAGGACCAACACATATATAATATTTAGATTATAGAGTGTGTGTTTGTTTGTGCATGTAATATGTATAAATACATGTATGTAATTATTAATTATCCTCTGTCTGCCCCATTTTCAAGCTCATTTTAAGTCAACCAAGAAGTCTTTAAACAACATAAGTAAAAAGCCTGGGAACATTTAACTGCAAGCTTTGTCAATTAAACAAAATGGAAAGTTCATGAGTGGACTTTCATTTCAATGACAATTGCCGTTAGTGGGTAGCACATTCACCACAGTGGACTTGAGCAGTATTTGCGTACAAATGTTTTAAAAAAGGTACAGAGACATGATAAATACATGCATCCCGCAGTCTATTTCTAGGTCACAAAAGCTCCTTCAACCTAGACAGAACATATTTGCTCCAATAAATCTCTGAGAGGCCGAGGATTTAAAAAGAAAAGGTGGTTGTGTGGAGCGGAAGAGATAGAGGTCAGAGGTGGTGGGAAAATCTCACAGGAACAAACAGGTGGCAGTTTTTTGCTCAGAGGAAAAAAACCCTATCAATGAAATTATTGCTATTATAATTTATGTTTGGCCCATCTAAAAAGAAAACAAATGTCAGCCTTGATTGTAAGATTGTACTTTCCCTTAACTGCACAATTGTACTGACTACATGGCAACACCCCAGAGGCTATTTAAACAGCATTGCAAAAACTCATTAAGATTCCCAATTTTTGACTGAATTCATACCCAAATAAAGATGACCTTTGATGGGGTACAGAAGAGGGAAGAGATAGCTGCATAGGGATAAGTAAATTTCCCAAACACCGTCTATTCAGAACCAGAAAGGCCCACTTTGGCAAGAGTTGTACAAGCTGAAGTGAATTGAAATGTTCTGCCTGGATAAACGAGTGTGTTAAATAATACAAAAACGCTTAATTATAACTGGTGATAGATCATTGTAAACAAAGGCACTTTGTGGGCAACCAAAGTGGTTCTGTTATGTTGTTTGCTGACCAGCAGAAAGCTGGATCATGTGGTTTGTATAATTGTCACCATAGTTGTGCCTACTCTACGTTAAAACCGCATTTCATAGACAAAATGTCACATTGGATACAATTGCCTGACAAGTTTATGCCCCCTATTGATCTAATTTTGTCTGACAATATAGCCGTGGTATTAAAGATCTTTCAAGGAAAGCTCCTGTGTTGAAAGCAATGTAACCAGTTCAGAGGTTGTAGATACGTAAATGGTGCAAGCTATGGAGACGGTAACGGTTTTCCATGGAAGTGGTGGGTGGAAGAGGGGATAGTAGTTTGCTTTTCAAGTGAGTTGGAAAATTTGTATAAACCTGCCACATGTTTAAAATGCACATTGATCTTTTTCCTGTGCCCCAGACATGTTCTTCAGGCAGAGTATTCTGCAATGGGAATTTCCTCCAAGCCTTTTATAAGGTGCAGCATAATCCATTCCTCCTCCAATGAAAGATGTCAAGGAGGCTTAAACTGTGCCCCTACTCCACTCTTTTTAACTCTTGCTTGGGCTCTGTTCTGCAAAAGCCAAATTTGTATCCCTTTATTATGGACTTCTGTGGCCCCGGTGTGATGCTTGGAGAGAGAATTCCTCTCGACTTCGGCAGATTCTTTGCATGCAAAGAATAGCAGGACTAGTGTTTGTGCCCGAGCACTGAGGTTAGCAACAAGGTAAAGCTTCTGCTCTTTAGCCACACTGAACAGGGCCAGAAGAAACCAAGGGGTCCCTAACAGCAGGAGGGAGACAGAATTTTAAATGAATCTGAAGCGTGATTAGAGAAGGAAAAGGATGTGAGCTTGCTTAGTTCTACATAGCTCATGTGTTTCATGCATGTCAACTTTGCTGTACTTATTGAGTTTGTGCATGTATTATTATAAGTATTTAGATAGTGGATACAATCAGAGAGAAGGCCTGATTTTAAAAATGGAGCCACCACATGTCTAAATAACGTATAGAAGCCACAAATGGAAAAAAACAAACAAACCTCAAACCCATTTCAGTGGAGTAGGAAAGCAAGCCTTCCCTGATACTGAGAAGTAATGCTACCATGGAAGCGTCACACACAGATGTTGGTAATGATGTGGAAGATTTGTGATAAGTTTTCAATGTCATCTTCTTTCACCTAGCAACTTCTTGCTCAAATATGGAGGTGTGACCCTAAGAGGCCTTTTTGATGGCTGTGGGCAGTGAGGGACTAAGAAACGCACCACACTAAACACTGCTGCCACGGTCTTTATCAGGAGTGAAGGACGTTTGATAAACATTTTCATATGATATTTTACATGTCATCAGAATCATAGTGAGATGACTACACAGGTAATTAAAAAAGTTGTGGGCATCCACTAAAAATATGCTCAAACCAGAGCTGGTAAATAATTTTGCCCCAGCCTGGAATGTTGATTGGCCTGTCTACAGAGATTTACATTTGAGACCGAAGGAAACTTAGGGTGTGTCTAGACTACTGAGTTTTGTCAACAAAAGTGGACTTTTGTCGACAAAACTATACCAGCGTCTACACTACCGCTGAGTTCTGTCGACATAACGTCGACAGAACTCAGCAGTTTTGTCGACGCTGGTAAACCTCATTTTACGAGGCATAACACCTTCTGTTGACAGAGTTCTGTCGACAGAAGGTGTTATTGCCTGTAGGGTTGTGTCTAGACTACAGGGTTCTGTCGACAAAGCAGCTTGCTTTGTCGACAGAACTGAATGTGTCTACACGCTCTATGTCGACAGAAGTTTTGTCGACAGTATCTGTCGACAAAACTTCTGTCGACAAAAGTGTGTAGTCTAGACGTACCCTTACACTGAGAAGACCTTACAGTAAAACCAAGAATAATACATTCAAGTATTGATCTGCCTTTGGTGAACATTGTTCTTTCTGCCAGGCCCCTCTTTTTCTGTCTTAGGGTCATGTGATAGTTTGTCTGCTGCAGTCCCAGAAACATGCCTTCAGATACTTTCTGTTCCTTTGGATCCTGCCACTCAGGAGCTACATGATCCAGGGAACATTCCATGGGAATACAGACTGATTCATGCACACAGAGCTATTATGAGCTTCCATTCTCTTGAGTCTACACTTTAAACTGGCACAAGCTTTTCCTTGCTAAGTCCCAGATTGTCAGCCTCTGGTCTCCTGCACAAAGCTGGGAAGAATTTTCTCCTGCTTGCTCCTAATCAGCACATTGCGGGGGAGGGTCATGTGTTACAGCCCAACTGTTACCTTCTGCTCCAGCACATGGAAGAAGGCCAGATCACTAGGGGGAAACCTATCTGGTCCATGACCATAAACAAACAAACAAACCCAAATCACTGGTCCCCTCCATTACCCTTTGCACACCTTCCACTAGGAACTCCCATATCCTTTGCATACCCATAGTCTAATATCCCAGCTAGCAGCAGATTTTTTGGATGAAAGTGTAAAATTATTCCATAGCTGCGTATGGTGGCATTTCTGTCACACTAGCAAGGTCTTAACTATTAGTCATTAGGATAACATTTCATGCTCCAGAGTTTAAGCAAATTTCTAACTCTCAGCTTGCTATCCCTATAAATATCCAATCACTCTGAATCTTGCTAACTTCTTGGCCTCTGAAATCATGTGGCAATGAGTTCCAAAGTCTAATTACTTTTTCACACCAGCTATACTGGTTAGCCCACATACAAAAGTTCGGGTCTGATTCAAAGCCTCCCTCCTCTGCTGACACAAGAGCTACGTGCTCATCTCATCAGCAGCAGTCGAAGTCACTCCATTTGAGTGGTTCGAAACCTATCAACGTAGCAATCAATGTGCTTTGAAATTTCATTCTGTCTTTAGGCTGTGGAGGGGAGGTCACAAGAGACCTTCCTTCCAGCCATACTCCCTATCCAAGGACTGGACTTAATCTCCGTTCTCATGTACCTCCAGGTTGTACAAGGTTGGTGTTTACAGGAGGGAAAAGGACAGCATGGGCCATAGTATCACCCTTCTGCACCAGCCGTTAGAATAGCTCTGGAGGAATAATTCACTGCATCAGTTTAAAAGGTTTAAGAGAGGCCACTACTGTCTGCTGTTCCGCAGAGAGTAACGAAAGCTGGCGCCACACTGAGGGAACTACATAGGGCACCTTAGGATGGATTACCAGCACAGATAGTGTAAAATGGCCTTGGGACACTTATGAAGCAGGCTGTAAGACTGAGAGATTTGTTCTGTGCCTTTATGGGAGCTGTACTTGCCAAAGAAATCAATTCTCTGGGGCTTTTTCTCACAACAAAGAGCAAGAAAGCACCAAAAATGTAAAGAATCCTCAGTTTAAATGATCTTTCTTTTCTTTTACCTTGCATGGCATTTGGCTGTTATTTGCTGTGAACACCGGACTGTAGCCAAATATCAGCCAGCATGTACCTTCATGCCACTGATAGCCCGAGTTGGCTTATCTTCGCAACTTTGTTTCGTGGAATCCAGAGCGAACAGAATTGTGTAGCTTGAGCAATCAAAGGTGCAGTTGGGGGTAGGAGGGAAGAGAAAGAGCAACACATTTAAAAATTAAAATCTCGGTTCATTCATTCCCCGCTGCTCCCTATTTGCTTTGTGATGCAGCAGGGAAACTATGTGACTGTCCCTTTAAAAGCCATCATACCAATCAGCAGGTTTAACTGTCAAGCAAGCTGATGTAAGGTTCTTTGAATTACTGAGTGAGGGATATTCTTCCTGCCAGGTCCTGTCCCCTGTAGGCATGGCAGAGAAGTATTATAGGGCAGTTCTTACCTTGGGAATTAGCCTGCAAGACCCCAATGCTGTCATCAAACTGCATAGATTTGATGTTGAGTGACGCCAAGATGCATTCCTTGTCCTGCAGCGAAGCATCATCAATATTATTCTGATTGGCTGACAGGATAACGCACATGTCGCAGAGGTTGATGTTGACAGCCCTTAAATCAGCCCGACTTAATGGCGTACCCTTCGGCAGAGTGGGAAAAAAAAAGAGAGGGGGGCAGGGAGAGGGGAAAAAAGAAAAACAAATTAAAGATTGAGAAGGAGCTTTGGGAAATTATTTAACAAGTATCTTTTTTATGCTCTGACATTAAGCTGGTCTAACTATGTGCCAGGGAATAGGAGATGTGTGCTAATCTAAAGGGTAGTTGGTGCTGATGGCAGCATTTTAGGTTCAGTCTCGATACTCAGTCAAGCTATTACTAATAAACAAGGAATAGGAATAATGCCAGCATTCTACATCTCATCTGTGACTTGAAATTGTCTTGATTTAAATCACTATCATGTGCCAACCTCTGGCTTTCTGAACATAATGAGGGGTGTGTTCTAAATGTCTGTTTATCTAATACCAGCTCACGCAGGTCTAGGGCAAAAAAACATCTCAATTTAAACAGGAAAGCTTTGTGTGTCCTAGCCATTCGATCTGCAATCAAGAGGAAACTATTTTTCTAAAAAGCGTACTACCTGGAACAATACACAAGAAAGGTTAATCCTTTCCAATACATGTTTTTGATGCTTCTACCAGCAAAACACGCTGATATTTACAATTGTGTGATTAAACCCTTGGAAACAGAAACTGGATGTTAAGTTAATAGGCACAATTCATATAATATTCCCTGGAACTACAATTACCTATCAGAGGATGCAGTATTTAAAATGAAATGTTGTGGTCGTTAGTGGGGTTTTTCATGCCTAAGGCAACCAAGATACAACACTTAACCTTCTACATTTTATACACAAGACAATACTTATTTTTTGCCTTAAATATTCCAGAACTTAAGTTTCGGAGTATTATATCTAGGTAGCAAGGGCAGCACTCGGACTGGGGTTATATGAGTGCCAGCCATAGCTCACTTAGCTTCTACAGAGTGGTACCCACAGACCTAATGCTGACAGGGATATTAAACATTTCCTTTGTCCAAAGTTGTGTCCCTAGAGCCCACATACCATCTTCCTTAAAGACTGAGCAATGAAACTCCCACCCTTCTCCTCATGGTCATTCACGAGGAACGATCTGCTGAACTCCATGGAGATACTGAATGGCACAAAGGGTAGTTAGGGTCTGCAAATTAGAGCACCGTGCTTCCCACCCAGCTTAAAATTCAGCCATCTTGTTTCTCCTAGAAGAGTTGTCAGCAGCAGCGATGGAGACCTGCCTTCTTTTGGGGGATGTTGGTGAGGGATTTAGGGGAGATATTCAAGAACGCAAAAAGGAATTAGGAAGCCCAGATGCCATTCAAAAATCAATTGGATGTAGACACCCAAGTCCCAGCCCAGTGCACAGCTCCAGGTAACTCAGTAAAGAAGAATTGATTGTGTGCTTGAAACTAGTACCAACAAAGGCACTGAATTAATTCTGTGAGCTTTCACACAAGAGCATGGGCCAACTGCAGGAGTCCTTGGTTCATAGCACCCCTCCCCTGCCACAAACCCATGAGAAGAATGTTATTTAGGTTGCAAAATCAGGCACTCTGAAGTTAGGAAATGCCAGATTCAAGGTTTTCATGCAACATTAATTCTGCCCCTTTTGTGTCCATCCTTCATAATGAATGAGGCAGTGGTCCCATATGATACATAATTGTGTGGCTGCACATTATTTTTTCTAAGGCATGCATACCAGAGAGCCAAATTTGAGCTTTCTGAACTCAGGTTAAAAAAAGTACAGTATCTCCTTATTTGATTAACAAAAAATAGCTTTTCAATTTGGATAGGTCTGTAGCAACAGCTGGATTCTGCTCTCACACATCATCAAGAATATTGTTAGCTAAGCTCTGATTGCTGAATCTTTGTTACTGGCAAATGTAAGAGGCTTGACTTTCAGATGTCAGGCTGAATTTGCTGGGCTGGCAGTTACAAGGAAAAAAAATCTTTCACGGGGAAAATTTGATCTTGACGCCATTTGTGAGGCACAAATGTCACTTGCTCAGGAATTGCAGAAGAGAAACTAAGGGAAACAACCAATGTTAGGTCATCTCTACCCATACATTAGACTAAATTCATCATTGGACTCTGAAAGCTTCTGGCTTTGAACTTGTATTAGTTTAAATGTTAAAGAATGGTAAACTTCTACTTGACTTTCTTTTATTCTGGAAAGGATTAAAGAATATTGAGAGCTGAGAAAACAGAATGGCCAAGCTCGCTTTACTGAACTTTTGTAAAGTCTAGGACATCTCTTCTGCTATTTGACCAAGGGCCTGACCCTCTAATTCTTCCACTTTGTGAAATCATATACACCTCTGGGTGTAAAACCATACTGAATTATGAATCATTCACTTACACCAGAGGTAGCATACCATACTCACTACACAAATGTGAATGATGATACAAGAGAGTAGAGAATCGGGCCCTTGGAATATTGGACTCAAGAGACTGAAATCTGGACTCCAATGAAGTCAACAGGGGAGGGGAGAGGGGCGTTGTCATTAACATTAAAGGGACCAGGATTTCTCCCACTTTTGGTGGTAAGCATTTTACTACATAACTGTAAACACTTAAAAAGGAAACGCTCTTAATGAAAACACTATGATCATTGCCTTATATGCAAGAGAGCTAGGAGGCCAGCATCTATCAAGCCTTTACAGTTATAGATAGACAAATAATAAAAAAATAGTTTTCAAAGGTTTTCCAGGCATAAATAATGTCATAAGTAAGTACTGTCATTCTGTCAGAAAAATCACAACATCAGAACTAGCTACACGCAGGGAACTAGAGTGAATGTTCAATAGATAATGCAGCTAATACATTTCATAGCAGCTGAAATTCATCCTTGACAAGGGGACTGAACACTGCTGCAAATTTCTTCTAATAAGGTCTCACAGGGCTGAGTTTTCATAGATATAGTAAAGGGGAAGGGCTAGGTCCTGAGGCCGATAACCAGACAAAAGTAAAAAGCCTATCATCAAAGTCAAGATGAATCTGTCCAGTTGGTGTCTTTAAATAAAAAAAAATAATCGATATCACGACGTTAAGACTTACAGGCAAGATTGAAACCTTGGGGAAGTTATGCAGCATCTCCCATTCCCTTTTCAGATATTCAAGTGACCCCACAAACACAATGTGCTTGAGTTCATGGTAGTGAAAGTTGCTGGCGCGTAATGGCATCACTAGATTTCTCACTCCAATCAATGCAGATGTAGCATCCCCAAATATGCAAACGACCACATGACCACTTAACACAGTCATCGCTGCTTCGCTCCGGGTCTGGAAAAAAACCCAACAATTAGGGAAGGGGGAGATGGAGGAAAAAGAAGCATGAATCACAGACTGAATTCTAAACCAAGAATAAATGTGCTTTTTCTGACAATATCGTTCATGCACAGCGAAACAGCAGGACATTAAGTCATTCATTATTACATTTATTATTGAATGTGTGTGGAGTGTGGTCATTGCTGTATAAACAGAGGGGTCCTGGCCCATGGTTCACCTGAAGCTTGCAGTTCACAGCAGAGGCCTGGTCTACACTGCAAAATCAGGATAGTTTAATCACAACAGTGACCACCAACCAGTCAATCGGGATCTACCAGTAGATCTTGGAGTCTCTGACAGGTGATCCTGACTGGTTTGGCTGGGAGGCTCTCAAGTGCCTACACTTCAGCTGCCTCAGAGCTGCCCCCTGCTTGTTCTGCAGAGTGGGGGAGAGAGAGGCAGGGGGGTGTTAATGTCACTCTGTGAAGATGGCGTACAGGAGAGGGGGACAAAGTGAGGCCTGAGCGAAGGGGCGGACCGGGGGTATTTGGGTTTAAGGTAGATCCTGGACTGACAAATTCAAAAAGTGATCTTGTGCTTTAAAAGACTGGAGACCACTGGCCTACAACGTTCAAACATGTGAACAATCCACCCCTCTTGAGTGGCATAACTGAGTTGACGTAAGTCCCCATGGAAAACGTGCACCATGCATTTGATGATCTGATGGTGGATTTGTTTCAGAGAGTTCAGGACGCTACACTCTGTGGGGGAACCAGTAATTATAAACGAAGAGATAAGGCAGATTGGGGGAATGCGGGGTCCTAACCTCATGAGAAGCATGAAGGAATGCAACTGTCTCCCCCTCATTTTGGTGCCAAGGGGCCAGGATACCAATGGCTTAACTTTGTGATTCAAACCTGCACTACTCTAGTAGAGCAACACTTTATGTTCCAGTATGAGTAAAAAGAATAGCTGTGAACTGTAAAATACAAGCAATTGAGAAAAAAAACGGTGCTCAACATGAAAAAGAATGATGTGACTCTATTTGGTGTAATGTGTCCACAACAGGAGAACGAGGGGTGTGTGAAAAGAGTGTGGGAAACAAGCAATGGAAGAAGAGACTCAGACCTTATTCTGTTTGAGTTATGTTCTTAAACCACAAGAACTGCCATACTGGGTCAGGCCAATGGTCCATCTAGCCCAGGATCCTGTCTGCTGACAGTGGCCAATACCAGATGCCGCAGAGGGAGGGAACACGACAGGCAATCCTCACATGATCCCTCCCCTGTCACTCATTTCCAGACAAACAGAGGCTAGGGACACCATTCCTACCCATCCTGGCTAATAGATTCATGGATGTTATGTCAGTCAATGGCGCTTTCTCACTTTTTTGAATCCTGTTAAAGTCCTAGCCTTCACCACATCCTCTAGTAAGTAAGTTATACTTACCTCACTATGAGTCCACTAACTTTAGTGCAGTAACTCCTGAATGACAGTGGTATGAGACAAGAAAGAGATCCCCCTAGATGTGGGAAAAGCCTTCCAACAACTCTGTCCATACCCTGAGGTTTTGGGTTGCTTTCCAATTAGTCTCTGGTTCAAAGTGTTTTTCTTGGGCTGACAGGAATGGTTCTATTTTACTTATGCAGCTATAACCTTTGGCTACAAAAGCATATAAAGGATTGTAACTTCTTGTAGCAAAATTAGAATGTCAAAACCCAGAATGCTTTTCCCGCTCACTGCTATTTAATAGCTGTGTTGATGAGTCTGAGCTAATGGAATTTTCCTCCTCTTGCATGTCACTTGACCTAGAAACAGAAGGGAGCCTTAAAATCTACACCCGATTCTCATTTATATTGTTGAGCTGTGCATGGTGCCACTTGGGGGAGGGTTCATTCTAGGATCCTGGACTTAGTCACAAAAACTTCCCCTGAGTGTAAGTACATGCTTTAAGTCTATGTCCTGGGACAAGCTGCCACCAGCACCACCCCCAGAATAAAGTGGAGTAGCCTCTGTGCCACTCTAGTCTACACCAGATACCAAAAGCCCCAGAGGGTCCTTTGCACCATGGTGAAAGAACTTGACTTTTGGTGACTTTTCATCGCCAAGAACATCTGAGGGGACAGAAGGAAGAGCCTGATGGCACATATCTAAATGGTGTTCAGAACTGCCTGCTTATCTCAATGACAGACGTTAATCCCAGTCACTCTTGAAGGCAGCCCACACATTGAGATAACCATTAAATGAAGTCATTAGTTGACAATGACAGTCATATCTAGATCCACTGTTGGTGCTGTTGCATTACACTAATAAATATCTCCTTTCATGCATCAAAATTACATTAGTGAGGTAGATCTTCAACAAACTTAGCTACGGGCTGTGAGGAACTAAGGAGTAAAAGCTTTTCATGGAGAATAGGTTTATCAATCATGATTAGCCAAGATGATCATGAACACTAACCCATCTTCTAGGTGTCCATAACCCTCTGATTGTCAGAAGCTGGGAGTGGACAACAGGGGATGGATCACTCAAAGGAAAAGAACCATACAGGACAGTTTATTAAGTCCTTTCTATCTTCTGACAACATAGACTCATCGTCTGTCTGAATCCTCTGATACTTAGTATGACCATTCTTATGTTCAGAGTCAGGGAAACATATTTATTGAAGCAAGAAAACAATATTTTTATTCTTTTTTCTTCATCCACAGAGTAAGCTGTGGATCTTTGCTGCTTACAGTTTACACAGACTGCATGGAACACAAAGACAGTATCTCAGCAGCATATTCTAACTCTGGAGTGATTTTGGCCAAAAGGTTTCTTTCTTGTCACTTCAAAAAAATGTTCTGCTTTCAATTGCACGATTGCAACTGTATTCATTTTTTTTCTGTGAAAGCCCCATTCTGCTCTCAGTTGCATGAAAATTAAGGACTTGATCCTGTAAGATGCAAAGCATCGTGGCTTTGATACTGTACAACATTTCAGCTTGCATTTGGAGCATATGAATAGTCCCATGTATGTCCGTAAGTGCTTTGCTGAATCAGGAATTTACAAGACTGAGCCAAACTATTGTTCTTGTCTGAAAAGTATGTAAAAATGTCACCTTCCCAATTGACAAACTAAACCCCCATAAGGATTAGAAGGCATGTCTGCTGATTTGAGTGACACGCTGCCCTTAACTGCTGTCAGCCCTGCACAACCAAAAAAGCCCTAGGGAAGAAAGGTGAATTATTTTCTGGTTTGGGCATCATCAACACGATTGTTCACACAATTTTCAACTAGAGGATTATCTGAGCAACCCCATCATCTTCAAATTATGCCCTCATTTGCACTTGTGCGGTAAGGTTGCACCGATGCACATGCGGACATAATTTGTGGACAGTGGACAAGTGTAAGTGTAAGTGAGGGCAGTCTATTGCTCACAGGATTTGTATCACGGGTGACGATGCATGAAACAAGAAAGAACTCAACGAAACTTGCAGATCCCAGGTTGAATTTACGGAGCAGGCAGTTAAGGGAAAAAATCATGTACTTGCAAACTGAAAAAAAATTGATATGAAGTAAAAAAAGATATAATAAATGAGGTAAACCCCACAATGCGATTTTTACAGGAATACTTTTCAAAGTAGAAGAACAGGCTAAGGTCATACCTGACTGATCTGTGAAAAAATATTTAAAATATTATAGCTGATCTCTTTTTTCCTCTGTTATACAATCATGTCTAGTGATCCCTCTCTGTTATGAAGTAATGGATGGTAAGGTTGCCCCTCATGGCCTACTGAACACCCTGGAATGAATATTAATTTAAAATGCTCAGAACAAACTCTAACAATTTAATCCCTGGAATTGACTAGTTTATTGATTGTTTAAATGCCAATATCGCAGTTCCAAACAATGTCATGGTTATTATAGAAACCCCTGAGGAGCTTGGGAAACAACCTTTTATGCCCCAATCGTTAGAATAAACCGGGGCTGTCACCATTATTGGTTACACCATGCAATAGCATGGGGAAAGTGTAGACAGCAATCTCAAGAAAAGCTTTATAAACTGCGACAAAGCGAAGATCCACCAGGGAGCTCATTTCAAATATCATCAGTTGTGTGTTTGAGATCTGGAGTTAGTTACTTGTTACTCTTAGGTAGGAGTGTATGAACATATACAGAACAAACTTTCACTGAATGTAACAGATTGTGATAGGCCCGGTAATTATTTTTAATTACTTGAGTCAGTTTGATGGCCCTCCCAGTTTAACAATGAAATGAATATACACTAGACCCGGTATACTGTTAGATGGGTAGACGAGCAGTACCATTTACTCATGTTAAGGCACTCAAACAAGCTTGTTTAAAACAAGATGATCATGCATTATTCCTTATTGGTCAATGTGAATTTTCCCCTATTTAAGTTTATCTCTTGGTTTTCAAGAGGCAAATGATACATGGTGATTTATGTATGTAAATCTGATTTACATAATCCTTGCTCTGAGCCTACACAAGGTATAAAGTACATGTATAACTTTAAGCTGCTGAGTAGACCCATTGACCCATATGTCAATATAATCTCAAGATTTGGGGCCAATTATCAGTGACGTAAGTAAAGTTTTAGGCTTGAATACCTAAAAGGTTTGGCTCAAAATCCATCCATATGGCATTTCTGATATCTATGTCATTTTTAAAACCATGGCACTGAAAACTATGTTAACCCACTAAACATCCCACATTCCTATTGTCAACAAGGCCTCTCTTTGGATAGAACTTCGATGGTCATTCTTTTAAGGCACCCACCAAAATGACCTTTTCAATGTCCTTGGCTGGACACCAATGAAACATCCCTGTGGAGTCATATTTTTTCACACTGGCATCCATGTTGTCAATCTGCTCGTTGCCGGGAATTAACAAAGGGTCATGCCTGGGGAAGAAAAAAAAAGTCAAAGATAATGTAACTGGAAAACATTATGAATTATGGATGGGAAAATATCCCAAGAGCTATATCCAATCAGGGATCAAAGTTAAAAAAAAAGTATTTACCTTTAAACCAATGTTTTCAACACACCTACTTTAGGAGGGAAAAATCTAATAAAATAACAAAAAATAAGTTTTTAAATGCTAGGTTGGGGCCTGGGAGATTTTTCAATAAGCTTTTCAGTTGATTTTAAAATAGTCTGTCACGTTCATGTCCATAAATATTCTCTCTTCCCGCTCCCATCCCTCCAAAAAATAAATATCAAAAGAGTTGCTATTAGCATCTGCAATGAAGTAGAAGGGATCGGAACAGAGCCCCATGCTGACTGACTGGCAGAGGTATGGAAAGCCAATTACTTGCTTTTACCACATACAACTTCTGACGTGATGCTCTTCACAGTAAAAGCTTTAACAGGCTGCACTTTAAATATTTTAGCAATTTGCCCAATCCTATTTTGCTTTCCCAAACTGAAGCCCTTTAAAGATTCAGCAGTATGTCATTTTAGAGTAGACTGACTAACAAATGCCCACATCTGGAATACATGATTTTAATACTAAACAACAGTGTCCATTTTCTGTGACAACTGTATCTGTGGAAACCTAAGTGTTTCTCCGGCAGGATTTTAAAACCTAGGGTTTTTCAAAGGAGGCACAAATAAGAGACATTTTAATTAACTGCCCTCCAACAAGTATAGCTGTGTGTGCACTTGCACACCCAAATACACACACCGTTCATTAATTTATTTGTTGAAAAAAAGTAAGGGAAGGGGGTAAGTGCATTAGCCAGAACTCTACAAGATGCTAAATAAGAGAAGTCTTTCTAATGATACCGAGGGATGCTATTACTATCAGTACAGCCACTGGAAGACCAGGGGCATCTGACCATAAAAACAAAATAGGGCACAGAACATATTCTGCCAAAGCCTGAGTGTTCCCCACTTTTGCACAGAATTCTCTGAATACAGAACAGTTTATACAGTGTATATCCACAGGTTAACTGTCCCTGAATTGCACAACAAACATAATGTGATACCTCATGCAGAACATGCTCACAAACAGGTGCCTGAAGGTGGCATCTACTTTGGTATCCACTTCGGTAGAATTCTGTCCAATGTCACAGGGATAAAATGATGCTTACGGTGCCGGATTGCACTCCTACTGAAATCAATTGGCAACATTCCTATTCAAATGAGTCCTGCTCACTTCCTCTATGGGTTTGTCCTGATGAAGTGGTTACCCGTTTAAAACAAAATACTTCCATGCTCTCTCCCAAGGAGGGAAGCAATTCACTACTTGGCAAACACATGTGTAGTTAGTGAATGTCACTTGAGAAAAACATTAATCACTTGGATGGCTTTGTACTGTCACTCAGTACCATAATATCTATGAAGCGCCGTCCATGTTAATCCGATTAGCAGCAAGGTTATCCTTACTGGTCTTCATGGAGACTGGCTCTGGGTCCTTGCAAATGACAAAAAGCTCTGTTTAGGGTAGGGTCTCACTCTTGGAGTAGGAGGAGAGAGAGGAGGGACGTGGGGTTAAAAAGAACTTGTTGATGATATCAGTGACATTCTTATTATGATGCATCAAGTAGGAATGTTGCAAAGAATTTGCTAAAGATGGACAGATTTTGGATTCCTCTAATCTCTTCAGGAGTATGTTATGTGCCCATGACTGCATGTTTTGTGTGGGACATGGATGCGCGCACGTTATTGTCTGACAGAAGTTGGTACCACAGCTAGATCACCTCAGTTAAGGGTGTTTAGCCCTAAGTGAGGTGTGAGGTGGCTGGAGATATTGTTTCAGAGGAGCCCAAGAATCCTGAGATTTTGTAGGTAAAAACATTAGAAGTATTGATGGACCAGCACTTTTGTAATTGGTAAGATGGTGGAGTAGGGTGAATACAGCACACAGCTTGGCACAGAATGTTTTAACACCTGCCATTTGCTTCTACTAGGTCCTCTGCAAAGGATTGGCTCTTCAGAAATATGTTTATGAATTCCAGTGATAAGTCACTGGTTGCACATGGTTTAGCAGCAGTATCCATAGTTGGAGACTTTATCCCAGGTTAGGAAATTTTCCAAATTTTCCAATTCTTCCTTCATATTGGCTATGGAAATTCAACAAATGATTCCCCATGAGCCCTTCCTAGAGCATTACTGACATGAAAGCAGAAGTCACTAATTAAATCTTTCTTTCCCCTTTTAACGTGGTTTAATTCAAACAATTAGGCACATTAAGGATGTGATTTATACATTTCCCTTCCTATTCACTAGGAAACAACAGTAAAATGGGTTCTTAAAATGTCTCCATTTTATGTTTTAATTAATTTTTCTTGACTGCTCTCCGGTCTAACCCTCTTAAACTTGTATTCAAAATCTGCAGCAATGTCCCTGGTTAATTTGCAGCAAAGTCCAAAGTTAGGAGGAATCCTTTAATAAAACCAGGGGACTGCACTATAAAAGTCTGGTCTGTATTTAACTGTTTTCAGCCTTGATTCAGTAAACCACGTGCATGGGAGCTTACGATTCAGCACTCGTTTATGAGCTGTTTTGAACTATGGCCTTGCCTCATACAAGAGACCATTCATAAGAGTTTGTGATAGAAACTTACAAGTACAGCTCAATGAAAGACTCATAATAAACAATTTAAATGAGGAGAGCAGCCCCTTTTTCTGCTGATGAATTATCTGCAAACAGATTCTTATGGATTCATTTATTGATAACTGTTTGACTAAAACCTTTTGTAAACATATTTCATCCAGCAGACAGTCTCTAAGTCAACAAAGTTTTTTTTACTAATTATGGTACGTAACTGGGCAATTAAGGCATATGGTTTCGTTTTTGTTCTCTGATTGGATATTATATCAATAATTACTTTTCGTATTACTGTAGCACTTAGGGGAACCTAGCCACTGTGAAGGACCCCTTACTCATCACCAGAAATACACTCTCGCTCCATCTCTAAAAGCCACCTGCATAGTAAGATTGTCTTGAAAACAAGCAATCCAAACCAGGGGAAAAAGAGCACTCACTGAGACAAATGGCTCAGCTCACACTTATCAGAATGACAGTATCATGCAGAATTAGCCTTCATGGGGGATTCCAATTCATTTGAGAACCCATGGAGATGAGTTAACTGCTTTGTAAATCTCTTATGATTTAATAAAATAATCAAGAAGCTGATTGAGGTATCTGAGCCATTAGCTATCATCTTTGAAAAGTCATGGAAGATGGGAAAAGGGCACATATAGTGCCCATTTATAGAAAGGGAAATAAGGACAACCCAGGAAACCACAGCATGGATTTGTAAAGAATAAATCATATCAAACCAATCTGATCGCTTTTTTGATAGGATAACAAGCCTTGCAGATAAGGGGAAAGTGGTAGATGTGGTATATCTAGACTTTGTAGCAAATGCTTTACTAGTCTCACATAATCTATGCTGTATTCCCCTAGTTTATTGATAAGAAGGTTGGGAATATCTATTCAAACAGTTATGCACCCACTTTATTGTAGCCCAGAGAGTATTTACCAATGGTTCACAGTCATGCTGGAAGGTCATAACAAGTAGAGTTCTGCAGAGGTCAGTTTTGGGACCAGTTCTGTTCAATATCTTCATCAACAATTTAGATATTGGCATAGAGAGGATGCTTATAAAGTTTGCAGATGATAGCAAGCTGGGAGACATTGCAATTGCTTTGGAGAATAGCATCATAATTCAAAATGATCTGGACAAACTGGAGAAATGGCCATAGATAGGGTGAAGTTCCATAAGGACAAATGCAAAGTACTTCACACAGTCACTTCCCATTTAGTATGTCCAGGAAGGAGTGCTGCAGAAAAGTATCTAGGGGTCATAGTAGATCACAAGCTACATATGAGCCAACAATATAACACCGTTGGGGGGGAAAAAGCAATTATTCTGGGACGCATTAACAATAGTGTTGTAAGCAAGACATGAGAAGTAATTATTCCCCTCTCCTCTGCACTGATTAGGCCTCAACTGGAGTACTGTGTCTAGTTCTGGACACCACATTTTAGGAAAGATGTGGAGAAATTGGAGAAGGTCCAGAGAAGAGCAACAAAATAATTAAAGGTTTAGAAAACATGACTTATAAGGGAAGACTGAAAGAACTGGTCTTGTTTAGTTTGGAAAAGAGAAGACTGAGAAGGGACATGATAGCAGCTTTCAAATACCTAAAAGGGTGTTATAAGGCGGGAGAAAATTTATTCTCTTTAATGCCCGATGATATAACAAGAGGTAATGGGCTTAAATTGCAGCAAGGGAAGTTTAAAGTTGGAAAGTAGGAAACACTTCCTAATTGTCAGGGTGGTTAAGCATTGGAATAAATTACCTACGAAGATTGAGGTCTCTCCATCTTCGGAGATAGTTTAGATAAATCAGGGATGGTCTAGATGGTGCCATGAGGGCAGGAGACTGGACTTGATGATCTCTCGAGATCTAGTATTCTATGATTCTGTGATGTGGAAGGTTGTGCAGCAGTGTTCCCTCTATGCTGCACTACAGCACAGCTTCACAAATGATTAATCAGCCCTGCCCAGTCAGGCAGCTCCACACAGGGAGCTCTGAGCCTCCAACTGGGTGGGGCTGATTAAATACCTGTGAAGCTGTGCTGCCACACAGTTTAGAG